ATTCTCCTTGGTGAGCTGCTGGCGTTAAAGTTTCGAGCGAGCCATTTGGCTACTGCATAACTTAGTTTGCTCTGGAGGCGTCCTTCCTGAGCTAAGACAAAAATGTGTGAGCCGGAGGCTAAAAAACTGTGAACTAGTTCACACTAACTCAGCTTACAGGGATTCACAGTGGTCGTGGTTAAAAGTGGCGGCCTCTAATCTGGAGAACTGGGTTTGATTCCCCACTCCTCCTCCTCCACACGATGTGAGCTGGGTGACCTTGGGTCAGTCACCGTTCTCTTTGAACTCGCTCAGCCCCACCTACCTCAGAAGGTGCCTGTTGTGGGGAGAGGAAAGGAAGGCGATTGTAGAAGAAGACATGGGATTTATACCTCCCCCTTTACTACCCGAAGGAGTCTCAGAGCGGCTTACAATCTCCTTTCCCTTCCCCTCCCCACAACAGACACCCTGGGAGGCAGGTGGGGCTGAGAGAGCTCTCTCAAGGATTGCTCCTGAGAGAAGAGCTCTGAGAGAACTTGTGACTGACCCAAGGTCACACCAGCAGCTGGACGTGGAGGAGTGGGGAATCAAACCCGGTTCCCCCAGATTAGAGCCCGCCACTCTTTAACCTGGCCTGGCGAGATCTTGTCCATAGGGTCGTGAAGAGTCGGACTCGACTGTGCGACTGAACAACTCTTTAACCACTACACCAAACTGGCTCTCACTTTGAGACTCCTTAAGGCAGAGAAAAGTTGGATACGGAACCCAACTGTTTTTCTTCTTCGCATGAGGCCTGTAGGATGACCTTGGGCCAGTCAGAGTATGAACTCTCTCAGCCCCACCTACCTCACAAGGTGCCTGTTGTGGGGAGAGGAAGGGAAAGGTGATTGTAAGCCACTTTGAGACTCCTTAGGGTAGAGATAAGCGGGGTATAAAAACAAACTCTTCTTCTTTTTGTCCTCCCATGGCAGCCATTTTGTGATTAGCACCCCCTCCTGTGGCAGCCATTTTGTAGTTGTGTCCACCGTCCTGTGTTGGAATTCCAAAGGTGCCCACAGGCTCAGAAAGGCTGGGGACCCCCCCGTCCTAGTGTCTGTTCGTGCCTCTGGGGGAAAAGCAGCAGGTTTGGCCACTTGGAAGGTATTTGCGCCTCCCCTGGTGCGGCGAGAGGGGAGCCTGACTTACATCCCCCTTCCTCTCCGCAGCCCGGCGTACGTGGAGGCGGTGAAGTCCACGGCCACCATGAAGCCCCGTGACCTGCACCGCCACGGCAACCAGTACAATTCCATCTACATCTGTGCCAGCTCCTATGAGTGCGCCCGACTGGCAGCCGGTTCTGCATTCAGCGCAGTGGAAGCGGTGCTTTCCGGGAAGGTGAGCCGTGGGAGCTTTTCGTCGCCAGGGCACCAGCAAAGGAAGGGCGTTCGCTTTGCCGTCGTGGGCTGGCCACTCTGGAAGCATCAAAACCGGGCTGATTCTCCGCCTGGCGTACTGCATGCCGTTGCGGAGGCCTCACTTCAGAAAGGAAGATGGCAGAAGGGAGCGCGTGCAGAGTGAGCCCTGTGAGGAAAGGCTGAGGGTCTTGGGAACGTTCAGTCTGGAGAAGAGGAGGTTGAGGGGGGAGGCAGGATGGCTCTCCTGACGTATCTGAAGGGCTGCCCCTTGGAGGAGGGCAGGGAGTTGCTCCTGTTGGTGGTAGAGGAGAGGACACGCAAGAATGGACTTACATTAAGGGCAGGAAGGTACCAGCTGGATTTCAGGAAAAACTTTTTTGACAGTCAGAGTGGTGCAACAGTGGAATCAGCTGCCTACGGAGGTGGTGAGCTCCCCCCTCACTGACAAGTCTTAAAACAGTGGCTGGACAGACACTAGTCAGGGATGCTCTAGGGCTGATCCTGCATTGAGCAGGGGGTTGGATTAGATAGCCAGGCTGTATGGCCCCTTCCAACTCTGTGACTCTATGATTCTATGTACTTGTTCATGGGTTTTTTAAATGGCACACACCCTATCCTCTAGTGGGGCTACATTTTAGGGGTCTTGAACCCTCAGGGCTCACAAGCTGAGATGAGGTAAGCTGGGGAGGGGGGGTTGGAAAGGATTTCTCTGTGGCAGCAAACCCTGGCTTGTTCCTTACTACTGTTGGTTTCCTGGTTCTCCTTCTCTTCTATAGTCAAGAAAGCTAACAGGCAGAAAAACTCTTAAAGGAGACCAGTTTCTTGACACAGAGTTAGAAGGGGTCCTAGAGGTCACCTACTCCAACCCCCCTTTCTCAGTGCAGGCACTTAGCCAACTACTGCACCCCACTATGCTTAAAGGAGCACGTCCTTTAAAAATGTTTTTTAAATGATTGAAAAAAGCATTTACAGGAGAAATTCTTGTGGGACTGTGGGCAAATTCTTGTGGGCAGAGCCCCCCCAAGCCCCACTGTAGCTATGGACCTGCTTCTCTAGGTGTGAAAAGGTGACCATCATATCCCCTCACAAGCATCTCTTCTCCAACGTAGAGATCCCCAGCTCCTTCGACTTCTCCTCATAGGATATGGTTTCCAAAGCCCTCACCAGCTTCACTGCCCTACGCTGGACTCCTTCCAGCTTATTAGCATCCTTCCGAAATTGTGGTGCCCCAAACTGAACAGTTTTCCAGCTGAGGTCTAACCAAAGCAGTGTACAGTGGCCCCAATATTGCACACGTGACCTTGATTTCTGCTAACGCAGCGTAAAATCATGTTACCCTCTCTAAGCCCCAGCTGTATACCGGTCATATGATCACTATATGACAATTGGGGAGGAGCCGTGGCTCCGTGCTAGAGCCTCTGTTTGGCATGCAGAAGGTGTCAGATTCAATCCCTGGCCTCTCCAGTTAAAAGGACCAGGCAGGAGGTGATGAGGAAGACCTTGACCTGAGACCCTGGCTTAGTGGCAGAGCCTCTGCCTGGCATACAGAAGATCCCAGGTTCAATCCCCGGCCTCTCCAGTTCAAAGGACCAGGCAGGAGGTGATGAGAAGGGCCTTGACCCGAGACCCTGGCTCAGTGGCAGAGCTTCTGCTTGGCATGCAGAAAGTCCCAGGTTCTATCCCCGGCAAAGGACCAGGCAGGAGGTGATGAGAAAGACCTTGACCTGAGACCCTGGCTTAGTGACAGAGCCTCTGCTTGGTTCAATCCCCAGCCTCTCCAGTTAAAAGGACCAGGCAGTAGGTGATGAGAAAGACCTTGACCTGAGACCCCGGCTCAGTGGAAGAGCCTCTGTTTGGCATGCAGAAGGTCCCTAGTTCAATCCCCAGCATCGCCAGTTTAAAAAGATCAGGCAGTAGGTGATGTGAAAGGCCTTTGCCTGAGGCCCTGGAGAGGCGCTGCCTGTCTGAGTGGACAGTGCTGACTTTGACGGACCAAGGGTCTGATTCAGTATAAGGCAGCTTCATATATTTATTTCCCTCTCTGGCCTAGGGGTGTTTTTCCATAGTCTGCTGGGGAAGGTGTGTGACTCCAGTTTCAGTGCCTGCACCTTGTGCTTTCTTTTGGCTGTGGGTGCTACAGGTCCAGAATGCTGTGGCCATCGTCCGACCACCCGGGCACCATGCTGAATCGGACACGGCCTGCGGCTTCTGTTTCTTCAACTCGGTAGCCTTGGCAGCCCGATACGCACAACGCTTGGCTGGACGGCCCATGAGGTGAGTGGAGCTGGCTCCAGAGGAGCCACGGAGCGTGGCAGCTCGACGACGGAAGCTGGTTTAGCTCCCCTGGCTGCTCCCTGACTTGGAATCTTGGTCCTGTTGGCCATGAATGGTCAGGTAGTCGCAATAAGCTAAAATAGATAATGATAAACACGGTCTAAAGTAGCAAACAGAATCAGAAAAGAACCGTGAACATCAGACCCCAAAGTATCAACAGTCAGACAACTTGTATATGCAGTGAGTAATAGCTATTTGAAATGCATCTTTTATACAGTAAACAGTGTCTGTTTGAAATGAATACAATGTACAGTATCATAAGAAAAATCCTATTCAACGTCATTTCCAGATTATTTTCAATGTCTCAAATGGAATTCTTCCTCAGGAAATACCCTATACAGACAGTAACATTCAAGCTTTTAAAACTATGTCTATTTCTGATCATTCGGGTGCAGATCGCAAAACCTTCCCTAAGTGAATATCACAGAAGACATAATCTTAAGAGCTTGAAGGTTACTGCTCTGTATAGGGTATTTCATCGTGGGGAATTCCATTTGAAATGTTGGAAATAATCCAGCAACAACGTTGAGTAGGATTTTTCTTATAGTACTGTACATTGTATTCATTTCAAACAGACATCGTTTACTGTATAAAAGATGCATTTCAAATAGCTATTGCTCATTGCATATACAAGTTGTCTGACTGTTGGTACTTTGGGGTCTGATGTTCACGGTTGTTTTTCTGATTGTGTTTGCTAAGGAGGACACCACGACAATTACATTGCATGCAAATACAGTGTGTGTGCTACGCCCCAACATGACAGCTTCCCCTATCCGAGCAAAGCCTTCTGAAGGGACCATCCTGTAAACTGGTAAGATCCATAGCTGCCCATCCACGGGCATTCTCTTTGGTGTCCAATGTTCCCTCTAATTCTTTTTCTCTACTGATCAGAGCAATTCCTATCCTGAGCAGAATAGAACTGCTGTAATCTTCAAATGTAAATACAAACGGAGAACGTGGTGAGTAATACCTAAAACCAATTATAGAACACCGTGTTAAAAAGGCAGTCTTAATAAATTCTGTAAACTGCCATTACTTCCCATACATTGTAATCGCAGAAAGAACTTTTTGTGACTCAAGGTGAAAAAAGATTATTGTTGAAAAGGGCATTACGAACAGTGAACTGTGACCAAAAAATGTACCAAAATACCCATTGATGTTATATAATGTTTAGCTTTTTGTTGAGGATTCTTTCTGTCAGTGGGCTAGTTGTGTAGATCACGCATGTATGCATTCATATCCTCAAAAAATTAAAAAACTATAACGTATAAGCAAGCTATTACAATGTATGAGAAGTAATGCTAGTTTACAAAATATATTAAGATTGCCTTTTTAACACGGTGTTTTGTAGTTGATTTTGGGTAATCTTAGAAAGGGGAAATGGGCAGTGCAAGGCCCTGCGTGGCTCCAGATGGCTGCTGAGCCAGGCTTCCTGGGTTAATTAGTGGCCACTCATGGGCACAGCTTTGAGGGAACACTGGTTGTGGGCAGTGTTCCCTCTAAGCC